ACGCAATCTGCGTTTAGACGCAAACTGCGCTTAGACGCAATCTGAGTTTAAACGCAATCTGCATTTAGACGCAAACTGCGTTTAGACGCTAACTGTGTTTAAACGTAAACTGCACTTAATCATAAGTAATCTTAGAATCGGCTTTTGCATCAAAATAGTCTTTATCGAACGAACGCAGCTTTCGTTTTTTAATCGCTGAAAAATATCCGCTGCACTAATTCACCCCCCCCTCTTAGTGCTCTCGATCCTAACAACAAGGACATAATCTCCCTATACTAGACATGAAAAGAACCCATGAAATGCAAAGTAAACTGTTCATGCAACATAGATTGTATTCACTATTCAGAAATAGCATATTTAATAACTAATAAGATTCCATATATGCTAAGGTATCGGGAATCTTCAATTAGGACATGCCAAAAGAATCCTTATTTATAGTCAAGACTGTCATGTTCCAATGAGCTTAACATCTAAAAGCACCAATAGTTATAGTGTCTATGGCCATTTCAATACAAATTACAGAAACAAGAAAGCACTTAGAATAAAGAGTGTAGTAGTATTAAAGCCAAGATAAAGTAGCATACCGTACCTTCCCATGGCACCATAAGCATTGGCAAGGCACTGGCATGTATCAATTGCGTCCTCATGCTGTAGCCCAAAAGACTCATCAATGATGTCCTTTGCAAGAACTAGCACCTTAGCAGCAGACTGTGGGTGATCCATGTCCAAATATGCTTGTCCCAAATGCTTATACACAAATCCCAACCCAAAATGTTTTGGACCAAAGCAGTCTTTTAGCTTCTCAGCTGCACTTTCCAAGTAGGGAATGGATTGGGGAACCCTCTTTGTCAAGAGAAGCAACCATCCAATTCTCATCGAGATGCTTCCCTCCAGATGCTGTACCTGTGGAAGTTCCTGAAGAATAGCAAGAGCCTTCTTCATCAAAGACAAAGCAATCTCAAAGTCATTCATTGTCTCATATATCAAAGATATCTCTGCATAAGCTTCAGAAACCTTTGTGGGAGACACTAACTCCTTCTTGTCAAGAATACCACTAGCAATTTCCAAGCACCTTCTAGAATCACCAAACTTCTCCTGATTACACAAGGCCTGAGCCATCGAGATGAGCACTGATGCTCTTGTCTCACATTCCTTGTCAGTCTTTTGAATCACCCACTTCAGGTAGCTGATCGCTTGATCCAGCCTACCTAGTTCGATCAGTATGTTAGCCGCATCAATTCCCACCTGAAGCAATTCTTCATCCAAGCTTAAACTTTCCAAGACCCTTCTTGAAAGCTCATTCTGCTCCAATGCCTCATCATTCTCTCCCAACCCAGTATAAATAACACCAAGAAGCCGCCTAATCTGGACGACTTCTGCTGAGTACTCCCCAAATTGTTCACCATATATCTCAAGTGCCCTCAAAGCCAACGGCAAAGCCTCATCAAAATCCAAAACGACAACATAAGCCTCCGCCAAATCCTTATAGGCGGCACCCATTTCCCTAGAAGTATGCTCCAAAATTGACCGTTTAAGGTCCAAAGACTTCCGTAGATTGATCAAAGCCTCCCGCCTTCGGCCCATAGCAGTCTTAGTACTCGAGAGCTGGAGCTGAACAGCGACGCTAGCTTTAAGAGCATCATCGTCCCTGGAATTTTCTCGCCTTAGTGCATCGAGAATATGAGCTGCGGTGTTTAACGACTCCAGGCTATCGTTGAACCTCATCATCTTGCAGCTGATGGAGCCCATCAATCGCAGGACTTTGGCGACCGAGACCGACCACCCGCCGTCCTTCCTCTCGAAGAATTGCAGCGCTCGGAAGGCAAAGGCGAGGGCTCTGTCGAGGTCCTGGTGCCCTATGGAATCCAGCCGCTCGGCCGCCTCGAAGCAGGCAGCGCCGAGCCTCTCGTCGTGCTCGTCGAGGGAGGAATCCATCGCCTCGATGACGGCGATGACTTCTGCAGAAGTGGCGGCGGATTGAAGGGTAGGAGTAGGATGAGGAGGTGGTGGGATTTGGGGAAGGGTTTGGATGCGGCGGAAAAGGGGGCATTTTGGGGGCAAGGGGATGCGGAAAGGACGTGGAAGAGGAGAGGTTGGAGAAGGGGTTTGGGGAGAGAGGTGAGGGAGGAGGCTTGTGAGAAGAGCAGTCGAGAAAAGGTTGGATCTGGAGGAAGAAGAGATGAGGGAAGTGGAAGCCGCAGCTGCTGCTCTTCTCACGGCCATGGGAGCAGAGGGGAAGGGGAGCCAACGCCGAGCAAACCCTTACATGAAAACGGGTCGGATCATTAAAATAGCAGGTGTTTCCATTTCTTATTAGCGGATTCGAATTCGGGTTTGTAAAGGTCTTATGTTTTCCTTGGGAAGTATTCCTCACAAGATTCGTTCTGAAAGATGCTCGAGGCCATCAGAAAAGCGCCTCTCAACCAAATCCATCTCAAGCTGATCGATTCCTAAGCGGATGACAACTCCCATCTCCTTCCCCATCCAATATAAGTGTCATAAACTATGAACTCGGTCGATCCTACCCCGCCGCATGTTTCGCCGATTGCCTCGAAGCTACGACTATTCCTCTTATAGATATCCGACGGGGTCGCTCACCTTCATCTCTACCAAACACGGCACGGCGCAATCGTCAAACGAGGTCCCCGGTACTGGCGGCTGCAGTCGAGCTCTGGAATCTGCAGGGAATGCCAAATGAGCAACCTTGTCGTCGGCCAAGCCGATGGTCTTGACAATGGGTACGTACGTCAAGCATCGGGAAGGACGCCTTGCACTCATCGGCCGTGGCCATCGCCACGCTAATGATACCGGGCCGGGGAACACGTTGACCGAACGGAGACGAAGACGACCGACCGTCGCCGGCTCCGCGAGCTGCTCCGTCGTGCTTGCGGAAACCGAAACGTTCAGCGATTCCTCGACACCGATGCCCGGACCAACCAGCAGGAATCCTGATCGTCTCGATCTTGAGACTACGTTCTGCATGAGGGAACAAAGCCTTGTGATATTTTATTTATTATTTTGAACTTAGTTCGCCTAGCTTTTTTTATTGATCGACTTTTGATCATTTTTGTATTTGTTGACTGATTTTTGTAACTATTTGAGGCCCGAAAGATTGCAGTTTAGATCCTCAATGAGATTACGTTTTGTTTCAGATACTCGAAAATCTTCTCAAATGCCACCTATATTACTTACCAATAAAGACTGACAGTTCTCCTCAAATGCCACCCATTTTGGATTTGGGTTTCCAACTCTCAATATCTTCCTGTCATGTTCGTGCACTCTGAGGACAAACAAAATGAGCATAAGCCTTAAACTGTTCTCACAGCTTTTAGATTTTTATTTCTCAACTCTCTCTTTTAATTTAAAAATAGGATTATTTATATTTTAATCAAAATCCAGATTAGATAGTAGTGACCACGGTTCAATTCAAACTAATAATTGAACTGATTAAAACCGGAACCAAAACCACTCAATAATTTCATGATTTCAAACCGAATCAAAATCGAAAGGGCAATTTGGCTGTGATTCTACCTCTCGAACCTAAATCAAAACTGAATCAACTGAAAAACAAAAAGATCATTAAAAGAAATAAAAGATAATTTATTAAAAAATAATTTTGTCTCTTTCAATAACTAAATAACAACTAGTTAGAAGGGTATGCTTAGAAAAAAAAATTATAAAATTCTTCTCCACACCAATCATCTCATCTCTCTATTTCTCTCTAATTGCAATATTAATTCTCTATTCTTTCTAATTATAATATTATTTTCTTACTCATACTCTTAATTTTTACTACTTCTACCATAGGATAATCTCGATTGAACTCGAAGAAACTCAAATATCTTTGAGGTGTGATAGCTCATTTCAAGTAATTTGTAACTATTACTCTAAAAGTGTTAAATTGAAAGAAGGTGAATATACAATGATTATTAAGAAGAAGCATTCTACTCGAGTGAGTTTTGACAAAACCCAAAGTCCAAATTTTTCGTACTGATTTGGGATAATTTTAACATAACATAAATAATTTGATCCATATCAATCTATAAGCCTTTTGAAGACTCAAAATTTATTTAGCTAAGTAAAATCTAAATTTCAATATCTCATTTACCTCGATTCCAATCCATATAGAATTAGGATAGGGATAATCTTCATCCAAATAGGGACAACCACCAAGGGGGTTCGACGGTCCTACAAAAAAATTCTTAAATCATAAGAATATGGGGGCATCCCTCACCCTACAAAATAATAAGGTGTGCCCCCATCTAAAGCTATCAAGAATTTTGTAACAAAAAAATAATAGCAAAGAGTCTAGTCAACCTTAGGCTTTACAATATGCCGTCATTCCTTCTTGTTGTAGCTTTCTTCCTCAAATTTCAATAATTGAAACTCTCTACCAAGCTCTAGAACACTGCTATGAGAAACCCTTGACACTTGTTGCTATTGTCTAAATCTTACAAGGAGGTTCTAAGAACAAGAGAGAAGATTGAAAACGACAATGATATGCAAATCTATCGTTAATACATAGGTATTATCCAAAGATAATCTATGCTCTATACTGTTAGATTTTGTAGCCATTTATAATTGGATAAGATATATATAATATAATTAATTGAATTCTGATGACATATTTTGGTCAATAGAAAAGAAGTCCACTTAAAGTATGATTCCTTAGGAGATGCCTTTGATTGGAGAAACTCTCCTAATTACTTATCCTAGACCCTCTGTGCTTGCCTATAAATAGATACGATCTCTATGGACCGAATAACAAAGGTTACGCATCTCATAGAGGATTCAGTTGAGGGATTATGCCCTTGATGGGAGAAACTCTCCTAATTACTTATCCTAGACCCTTTTCTTTTACCTATGTTAGGATCAAGAGTGCACTAAGAGGGGGGGGGGGGGTGAATTAGTGCAACGGAAAGATTACGTCTCGATTAAAACTTCATTCGATAAAAACCATTTCCGACGAAAACCGATCTTGGAAATATCTTAACTTGAAACACGTTCGTAAATGAATTGAAGACAGTAAGCATTTAAAGAGGTTTGTAGTAAGGTAATAGCAAGAATAAAATGCAAACCAGAGAACATGATAGTTTTAGAGTGGTTTGGTCAACGTGACCTACATCCACTTTTGGCTTCCTCCTCTGACGAGGTCATTGACATCCACTAGAGGCCTTCCTTCAATAGGCGAAGGCCAACCACCTTTTTACACCCCTCTTCTCCTTCTCACGGGTTTAGGAGACAACCCTTACAAGCACTCACACTTATCTCTTAAATAGAATTCTAACACTTAGACTTAGAGGAGGGAATTTCTAAAGAGATTGCAGTAGCGTTTCTTTGCTTTTAGACTCTCTGTGCTTGTGTGTTTTAACCAGGGATGAGAGGGGTATTTATAGGCTTCAAGTTGATTCAAACTTGGAGCCTAAAACTTTCCCATCCTAGGTTCCTCGGGCAGTACCACCGCCTAGTGTCAGTTTGACTGACACTGCCCTGGACGGTACCACCGCTTGGGGAGGTAGTGTTAGGCGGTACCATCGCCCAGACTAGTGGTACCATCACCCAAACTGGCGGTACCACAGCTTGGCACCCTACTAAGGGTGGTACAACCGCTCAGAATAGCGGTACTACCACCTGACACAATCTCAAAGACTGTGTCATGACGGTGAGACTTCTTGAGGCACTGTTTGGGCCTTTTATTAGGCCCAACACAGTTCTTATATAGGCCTAGCTGGCCCCTAATTAGATTGGCCCAAATCCAAGCCCAATTACGTGTTAACTACGAAATCCTAAGATATTTGCTAAGCTAAACAAGTCCCTATGTCTATTCTTCCGATGAGCTTTCTGTTAGGATCAAGAGCACTAAGAGGGGGGGGGGGATGAATTAGTGCAGCGGAAAACTTTCGACGATTAAAACTGCGTTCGTACGATAAGAGCGATTTCGGTAGAAAAGCCGATTCGTAGATCACTTTAACTTGTGATCAAGCAAGATGCAGTTAAAGCAAGTCTATGAAGGCAGTTTGCAGTTATGATGGAAATTAGAATATAAGCGTAAACTAAAATATGTTGTTCGTACGATAAAACTGATTTATGTCTAAACGCCGATTCGGAAAATACTGAACTTTAAAACACGATCATAAATGCGCAGAAGGCAATAAGCTATTGAGGAGGTTTGCAGTAAAGATAATATGCTCAAAGTAAATGCAAACCGAGATTTAGAGTGGTTCGGTCAATCTTGACCTACATCCACTTTTGGCTTCCTCCACCGACGAGGTCACCGACATCCACTAGAGGCCTTCCTTCAATAGGCGAAGGCCAACCACCTTTTTACAGTTTCACTCCTTTTGATGGGCTTAGGAGACAACCCTTACAGAATTTTCTTTCCTCTCTTCACAGATCAAAACTTGGAAGAAAAGAGGAAGGAGAACTTTTAACTCATACAACACTTTTGAGCTCTAAAAATCACAGAGTAAGATTAGGATTTCGGTGGTTTTTTGTTACACTTTCATTGCTGAAAGGGTGGGGTATTTATAGGCCCCAACCCAATTTGAATTACGAGCTCAAAACTATCAATTCCTGGAATTTCGGGGTCTGGCGGTTGCACCGCCTAGCTAGAGCTCGGAGACTAAGCCCTGGGCGGTGCCACCTCTGGCCAAGTAATCTGGGTCCGAATGGGCTGATCTATTCGGCCCAATTTATGTCTGACAAGGGCCCAATTGCCCCAAGATTAAGTTAATGGGATCACCTCCCATTTCTAACTTAATCATCGTGCTAACTACGAATTTCTTAAGACATTTACTGCAACTTGCTCCGGTGCGTCAATTGCTTCTTCCGGCGAGCTTCCGTCGATCATCCGATGAACCCTCGGTGATGCTCCTGTAGACTTCCAGCAAACTCCTGGACTTGTGATGATCCACTTAGCAAGTTCTGACGAGTTTCTTTGGCAAGCTCTTGGACTTCTCGGATTTGTTCCCATAGAACCTCCGACGACCATCCGAACTTCCGTTGAATTCTCGAACCCCCAACGTGATCATAGTCTTGACTCCGACGTAACTCCTACTGCATGTCTTACTTTCATCGTAGTTAATCCTGCATACTTATCTCAACATATGGATTAGATAACAAATGACAATTGACGTCATCATCAAAATCCGAGATTCAACAATCTCCCCCTTTTTGATGATGATAATCAATTGATAACGGAGTTACCCTTAACTCCCCCTATCTATGTGCTATAATTGAGATAAGTCATTCTTGAATTCAAAGCCTTTGAATTCAAGAGACATATTGATAAGTTA